GACAGAGGGGTGTGGGATGGAGCTGTTATAGGGATGGAGCTGTGGGGCACAGGGGTGGAAGGATGGAGGGGTGTGGGGTGGAGGTGGGGGCAGAGGGGTGGGAGGACGGAGCTGTGGGGTGGAGGGGTGGAGGGATGGAGGGGTGTGGGGCAGTGGGGTGGAAGGATGGGGGGTGGGGTGGAAGGGTGTGGGGTGGAGATGTGGGGCAGAGGGGTGGTAGGATCCACGGTGCTGTGGGGCAGCGCTGTGGGGCAGCGCTGTGGGATGGAGGTGTAGAGCAGCGCTGTGGGGCAGCGCTGTGGGATAGCATTGTGGGGCAGTGCTATGGGGCGGCGCTGTGGGGCAGCGCTGTGGGATAGCATTGTGGGGCAGTGCTATGGGGCGGCGCTGTGGGGCAGCGCCGTGGGGCAGCGCCGTGGGTCTGCCCCGCTGCAGGGCTGTGGGGCTCCCGCTCGGCGCTGCGCGCAGCCCTGCAGCAGCTCTGGTTCGGCCGCTACTCGCGATCCGGGGGAGCCGCCTTGGATTCGTCTGGGTTCGAGCACGTCTTCGTCGGTACGGGGTCACCGGGGGTCACCAGGGGTCACCGGGGGTCACGAGGGGTCACGGGGGTGCATGGGGTCACATGAGGACATGTGGGGGGGGTATGGGGAGAGCTGGGGTCATCTGAGCGCATGTGGGGTCTCGGGGGGTCATGAGGGGTCACAGGGGTCACGGGGCATCATGAGGAGTCACAAGGGGTCACAGGGGTCGTGTGGGGTCTCATAGGGTCTTGGGGGGTCACATGGGGTAAGAGGGGTCATGGGGGTCACAAGGGGTCATGAAGGGTCACGACAGGTCATGGGGGGGGTGTGGTGTCACATGGGGAGGATATGGGGAGATATGGGGTAAATGAGGTCATGAGGTCACATGGGGTCATGTGGGGTCACATGCAGTCTCAGGTGGTCACGTGGGGTCACGTGGGGTCACATGGGGTCACGAGGTGTCATGAGGGGTCACAGGGGGTCACGGGAATCGGGGGGGTACATGGGGTCAAGTGGGGTCACGTTGGGTCACATGGGGTCACATGGGGTCACATGGGGTCATGAGGGATTTATGGGGACATGGGGGCTTATGGGGACACCTGGGGACATTTGGGGACATACGGGGATGAGGGGACATGGGGGGGTTTAGTGGGGGACATGGGGGGGCACAGGGATGTATGGGGACACATGGGGATGTGGGGGGACATGGGGATGTATGGGGAGACATAGGGGGCTGTATGGGGACACAGGGGGACATGGGGACACATGGGGACATATGGGGGGACATGGGGATGTATGGGGACATATGGGGACAGATGGGGGGCATAGGGACACATGGGGACATGAGAACATCTGGGGACATATGGGGGAACATGGGGGTGTATGGGACCGTATGGGGGACATGGGGACGTGTGGGGACAGATATGGATATAAGGGGGGACATGGAGATGTATGGGGACATGGGGGGACAACTGGGGGCCATAGGGACACATGGGGACGTGTGGGGACACATGGGGACATACGGGGGAACATGGGGATGTGTGGGGACGTAGGGACACGTGGGGACACGTGGGGAGAGACGGGGATATAAGGGGGGGCATGGGGGTGTATGGGGACACATGGGGACAACTGGGGGCCATAGGGACACGTGGGGACGTGTGGGGACACATGGGGGCACATGGGGGAACACAGGGACGTGTGGGGACATTTGAGGGACCTGGGGACACGCAGGGATGGAGGGGGAGACGTGGGGGCGTATGGGGACGGATGGGGGATGCGGTGACACGCGGTGACACGCGGTGACACACAATGACATGTGATGACACGCGATGACACGCGTGTGCTGCCGCACGGCCCCGCAGGTGAGATCAAGAACAGCCGCGTGTCGGGCTGCCACTCGTGGGTGCAGCTGCAGCAGCTGGAGCGCAGCGGGCGCCTGAATTACCTGAGCTACAGCTACGACGGGCCGGTGAGCGTGCGGCGGGGGCTGCGTGGGGGGGTCACTGCGGTGTGTGGTTGTGTCGTTGTGTGGTTGTGTCATTGTGTCACTGTTGTGTGGTTGTGTCATTGTGTCACTGCGGTGTGTGGTTGTGTCGTTGTGTGGTTGCGTCGTTGTGTCACTGTCATGTTGTGTGGTTGTGTCACTGTGTCACTGCGGTGTGTGGTTGTGTCGTTGTGTGGTTGCATCGTTGTGTCACTGTCATGTTGTGTGGTTGTGTCACTGTGTCACTGCGGTGTGTGGTTGTGTCGTTGTGTCACTGCGGTGTGTGGTTGTGTCGTTGTGTGGTTGCGTCGTTGTGTCACTGTTGTGTGGTTGTGTCACTGTGTCACTGTGGTGTGTGGTTGTGTCGTTGTGTCATTGTGTCACTGTCATGTTGTGTGGTTGTGTCATTGTGTCACTGCTGTGTGGTTGTGTCATTGTGTGGTTGTGTCGTTGTGTCACTGTCATGTTGTGTGGTTGTGTCATTGTCACTGCGATGTGTGGTTGTGTCATTGTGTCACTGTGATGTGTGGTTGTGTTGTTGTGTGGTTGTGTCACTGTGATGTGTGGTTGTGTGACTGCGATGGTGTGTGGTTGTGTCATTGTGTCACTGCGATATGTGGTTGTGTCATTGTGATGTTGTGTGGTTGTGTCACTGCAATGTTGTGTGGCTGCGTCACTATGATGTGTGGTTGTGTCATTGTGTCACTGCGATGCTGTGTGGTTGTGTCGTTGTGATGTGTTGTGTTGTTGTGTGGTTGTGTCACTGCAATGTTGTATGGTTGTGTCATTGTGTCACTGCGATGTTGTGTGGTTGTGTCATTGTAACGTGTTGTGTTGTTGTGTGGTTGCGTCACTGTGATGTGTGGTTGTGTCGTTTTGTGGTTGTGTCACTGTGATGTTGTGTGGTTGTGTTGTTGTGTTGCGTAGTTGTGTCACTGTGGGTTTTGGTTGTCTGGTTGTGTCATGTTGTTGTGTGGTTGTGTCACAGTGTTGTCATTGTGTGGTTGTGTCACTGCAATGTGTGGTTGTGTGGTTGTTGTGTTGTGTGATTGTGTCACTGCAATGTTGTGTGGTTGTGTCACTGTGATGCTGTGTGGTTGTGTTGTTGTGTGATTGTGTCATGGTGTGGTTCTGTGGTTGCATTGTTGTGTCACTGTGTGGTTGTGTTGTGTTGTTGAGTGGTTGTGTCACTGTGATGTTGTGTGGTTGTGTTGTTGTGTTGTCTGGTTGTGCCACCTTATTATTGTATCATTGTGTGGTTGTGCTGTTGTGTTGTTGGGAGGCTCTGTTGTTGTGTCACCGTGTTGTGTTGTTGTATCCCTGTGTCGCTTTGTTGTTGTGTTGCTGTGTCACTCTGTTGTTGTGTCGTTGTGTCCCCGTGTCTCTTTGTCACCGTTGTTGTGTCACTCCGTCGTTGTCTCGCTGTCGCTCTGTTGTGTCGCTGTGTTGCTGTGTTGTTGTGTCACTCTTGTTGTGTCCCTGTGTTGTGTCATTGTGTCGCTGTGTCACTGTTGTGTTACTGTGTTATTGCGTCGTTGTGCTGTTGTGCCGTTTTGTTGTGTCCCTGTGTCACTCTGTTGCTGTCGTTGTGTCGCTGTGTTGTGTCATTGTATCACTGTTGTTGTGTTACTGTGTCATTGTGTCGTTGTGTCCCTGTGTCTCTGTTGTGTCGTTGTGTTGTTGTGTCGTTGTGTCCCTGTGTCTCTGTTGTGTCACTGTGTCGCTGTCACCCTGTGGTTGTGTAGTTGTGTAGTTGTGTGGTTGTGTAGTTGTGTGGTTGTGTAGTTGTGTGGTTGTGTCGTTGTGTGGTTGCGTACTTGTGTGGTTGTGTAGTTGTGTCGTTGTGTAGTTGTGTGGTTGTGTGGTTGTGTCGTGTCGTTGTGTGGTTGTGTGGTTGTGTGGTTGTGTGGTTGTGTCGTTGTGTGGTTGTGTGGTTGTGTGGTTGTGTTGTTGTGTCGTTGTGTGGTTGCGTACTTGTGTGGTTGCGTAGTTGTGTGGTTGTGTAGTTGTGTGGTTGTGTAGTTGTGTGGTTGTGTAGTTGTGTGGTTGTGTGGTTGTGTAGTTGTGTGGTTGTGTCGTTGTGTGGTTGTGTGGTTGTGTCCCCGTGCTCTTTGTCCCCACCATCCCCGCCCCCTCAGCTCCGCCCGCCCCTCCTCTTGTGCCCCCTTGTCCCCA